CAGCATGATATTAAAATGCATAGCATTGCAGAGCACTAAAAATTAGAAGCACTACAGAAAGTCAGCTAGACAACCTAGATTTTAATCAGATTGGTATATTGAGTGAGGCACTTTGAAGACACCTCCCTTATTTGCTTTAGAAACAGACAGTTTCTAGAAGAAGACTAGTTAGAAACTGGAAAGCCTCATCATAAAGGCAGCTTAATGCCACTTCCGTAGTACCACTACATACATTTTCTAAAAATATATAGATACATGACTTTAGATATTTTTACCACACTTTTCTCCCCAGCAGAAATCAAAAGTGTTTTACAGAGTTGTTCCCCTTCCTCAATTTTACCCTTACAACAACCCTGTCAGTTAGGTGAAGCTGAAAGTGAATGACTAGCCCAAGGTCATCCATCAAACATCCATGGAAGAGTGGGGATTCAAACATGGGTCTCCCAGACCCTAGCCCAACACTTCAAAATCACACTGACTCTTTACTTTAAAAGATGACAATTTTCACTTTGGGGTTTGATTTGTCAGTCTCAAAATAACGTGACAGGGCATTTTTAATGAGGAAGTGGATACCAGATTCAGCACTGAATGCCACAGTGGAAACAGCAAAAGCTACAAGGCCACACTTGCATATTGTAACCACATGTGATTGTCATAGTTTTCCATCAGATACCTAAAGATGGTTGACTGATATGTCCCATTTATTCTAAAACTCTCATATTCTGAAATAACTATCCACAGAGCAGAAAGTTTCAGAAAAATCACAGAAGTAATCCAACAGCAGAAACCTTTTAAGTTGATTTTTTATTTCATTGCTTGACTTACCATTATACTGTTAAACTGCTCTCTCATCCACACAAGATAGTATTTGCTTTAAAGAAGCAAACACTTTAGTTGCAAGAAAAAGGCACATACCAGAAACATACCACCTATTCCCATGTAACAGAGATACACACATACTTCCCTAAATACCCAAGCAACATATTCACATCTTTAAGTCTGCTGACCTGATCATTACGCATTTGAAGATTTTATCTATTCATCAGATCAATGGAACAATGGAAGAACCAACTATGAAGTAATAATTAGAAGCTTTGTTGTACAATGGCAATTAAAAAACTGTACAGAAAATTAAAGAAAAATATTTTTAATTAACAAGGTAGCAACATTTTATTTTTCTGATTGGTACTTAAACTTTCCATAAAATCTGAGAAGTCTAGAAGATAAAACTGGTATATTGATTTCAGTTTCTCTGTGGCTATCCCATGGATAGCCTAGATGGCAGTTCAACAAGTAGACTGTTCTTAATGCATAATCTAGATCGCTGTCAGACCTGTCCACTTGAGTAATTTGCTTGTTAAATCACCCTAAAGGCTTAATTCATTAGGATTGCTGCTTGACATACAGCTATCCATACAACACTGCCAAATTAGACCACAGGGGCCCAGGAACATCTCAGACTAGAAGAAATTCTCCATGGTTCCAAGAAAGGGTCTCCCCTAGAACTGCCAGATGAAATATTTATCTTTGGAGACCAGGAGACAAACCTGGGAATAAACAAAAAAAAGCACACACTGTATAATTGTACTGCAAGTAAATCCATGTATCAAGCAGTTTTGCACAACTCCTCAAATGATCCTGGCTGTTTTGAACTTGCCAGCTTAGAACACTTTTTTCCCCTGTGTTTGGAGTAGCATGCTTAAAGTTGCCAGAATCATATGGGGAACCAGTCACACGAACTGCTTGCTTCCATACAGCTATGCATTCAGCTATGTAGGTATCTTAACTGAGCAGCTACTAATCAGAGGCTCTTTCAAGAAACTTCAATAAGGCATACATAAGCTATGAAGAAGTCTTTAACCCACAATGTAAAAGATGACAGTTGTGTGTATGAAAGAGAGCGAGTATCTGATACCTTCCACTACTGTTATCACCATTTCCCAGATTGTAACAAAGAGGGTCACTGAAAAAGGCAAAGCCAGCTATAAGCCAACCAACTGTTCATTAATTTTCATCATAAAATTAACGTATTGCAAATTATGCTTTGAAATATGGATACTCTAATTCGCATTGTAAGCAACCCTCCATCAAAAAAGTGACAAAGAAATTTTGTGGTGTGATTCTTCATGGCTGAACCTGCTTTATCATATACATTTTGTAGGTGCCTGTCAGCGAAAACTCAGCCCACAATAAATTTGTTAATCTTAAAGACAGAACTAGACTCTGGCTCAGTTGAAACCTAACAAGTTACGGGTTCACATACTCCCTCTTCCCCTTCCCTTGGGAAGTCTACTCCACCCCTCACTTCCTAGTTTGCAGAAATTCACCATTCAGCCACTGTCTGTGCAACCAGAATTGGAAATCACAAGCTATGGTTTCCAATTCTGGTTTGCCCAGTTCAGATGTAGCAGCAGACTATGGCTTACCACAAACCAGGATACTACAGAAAGAATCCAAGCGAACATAAAAAGAGAAGGGAGTATGCAAACTCAAGGCTCATTTGTGCAACGCAGAACCACTATCTGTACCAAGTTTCATTGTTTTAGATTCCTTAGCAAAAAATATAAACTGTTCTGTTTTTCTGGAGCATATTTTAAAAGCAATTAATCAAAGCACTAAAAACATAACTTTGGGGGGGGGGTGTTTCACACACACACTTACTTTAGGTGTGGGAGGGGGGGGGTGAACTAACTTCAGAAAACAAAGTCAAAGGGATACACCTGGAGAGGGAAAATAGCACAAGAAAACAAGACAAAGAATTGGAAAGAAGGAGCCACAAAGCCGAGATCTTAACCAATATTTCCAGGATCTTTAAGAACAAGAAGGAACCCCTTGCCGCTATCTGCTAGGAGCTACATTTACATCTAAGTGAAAAAGGACATGTTGAAGTATGTATATCATACAGAATCCGATAGCAAACAAAGGTACTGGTAAAACAATATTTCTGTAAGACTGGGAAAAGATCTGTTTTGGGACAAAAAATGGAAATGCTTCAATCACACATGTACTTAGAAATGCTACTATTTCACAACAGAATTTACTTCCAAGTAAAAGTTTTCAGGATTTTACTCAAATACTGGTGTCAGGCACTGTACTGACCCATAATAAAATACAGGGCTGAGTGGAATAAAGAAGAAATAGTATGATAGCCTGCTGGACATAGCTTGACCATTAGATGCATTGCATTCAGGGCAGAATGAATATATATCAGACGCTATAAGGTGCACTAGGACCTTATATATATCAGACGCTATAAGGTGCACTAGGATTCCCAGATAACATGGCCATCAAATTGAAACCAGATTTTTAAATAAAGACTTCAACAGAGTACAAAGAAAATCATCAGAACTTACAGTGCTTTCCCTGAAGTAAACCCCACTGAATAGACCCAAGTAGGATTTCGAGTAGACCTGCTTAGAACTGCTCTCTTAAGCACTAGCTCAGACTATTTAACTCTGATGCGACAAATATTTAAGTGACACTCTACTTGTTTTTGATAGTAGTGAAGTATTATAAGGAAAAGGACAATGGAATAAGCATAGTCAGAAGGTAAAAATTATACAGAGATACTAAAAGGAAAGAATACCAGATGCACAAAAAGGCAAAACCCAAGTAAACAATACTGCTGTCTTGAATAAACATACTGGAGGATATTTCAATGAAGACCAAATTCCAGCTGTTGAGATAAAGAAAAAGATGAATGAAAGCCTCAAAGGAATGGACAGGTAATACACAGCACAAGTCAATTGGAATTCTTTAAAAGTATGTTATCTCTGTTTCATGGGCCACTAATTCGTGCTGTTACATTTGACATCAAGACTTAAGTAATTTACATAAACTATTAACAATATTATTAAGAATATACACATCTTTGTTCTGGTGCAAGAATGGCAAATAAAATGTCAAAGAATGGACACAATCAATTTTTTTCTATAGCAATGCCATTCATTTTAATGTGATATTGTAGAGTGATGTGATATTCTAGAATGATTAATTACTTAAAGTTTGGCATTTTCAGTTCAAAGAAAAATAGCTGAAACTTTCAAGCAGTCTTCTTCCTACTGTTTAAGCCCTCTTATGTCAAGAGACTATCACAAAAGGCACTGTGACTATAGCAAGAGTTACCCGTGGAACTTGCTTCTAGTATTTTGGACCCCTGAGAATCAACTCAATGCTTACTATTAAACAAGTTCTTCTGAGTTCATTGAGACTTTCTGCATGTGGGCACATAAGACTGCAACATATTATAAAAACTGCTTTACTCGTTTAAGCATTATTGCATCTTAGTGCAAAAAGGTTAGGAACAGGCAAACATTCAAACACATATATCAAACATGTATCTTTGCAACCAGATTGTATACACACACTTCCTCAGACCACAATGCAATCTTCCAGAAGAATTCCTACTTAAAGAAGAGAAAGACAGGATGACTTTACCAGCTTTTTCAAATTCTCTCTGAAGAAAGTCATTGTTCATGAGAAGCAAGGATTTGAAAATTTTGACTACTCTCTTGCCAGAAAGAGGGTGGGGGCAAAATGTGGAGCGGGAAAACTCTCAGTGCAAGTATGATATGCCAAGTCGGTTTTTTTATTGGCGCTCTAGATCCCCTCTCGTTTCAATAAGCTACTCAATTTAAAGCCCCCTGAAGATACACACCAATAGCTTCCGCCGACCCATAACCGGGGGGGGGGGGGGGAGGCGGGCTGGTTTCCTCGCCGCGACTAAGAAGGAGGGTCACTTAGCGCAGCAGACCGTGCAGAGCGCCGGGGGACGTGAGGCGCATATGAAACAAGGGGCAGCGGCTGCCCTCCGCACCGCCAGAAGACCTCCTCCAGCATCCTCCCGACTCCCCACCCCTCGCCTCTGCACAGGGACGGGACATGAGACCACGTGCAGCACCTGCAGAGCCCCAGGAAAGGGAATGCAACAGCGAGCCGCAGCGACGACCCTCCCGGTCTCCCACCCCCCTCCCCCTACTAGCCCCGCCGGTTTTACTCACGTCGGGAGCGAGAGCAGCAGCGTCCGGCGGGGTTTCCTGCTGTGACCGCGCCTGACCCAGGAGGAAGGGGGGCCCAGGCAGCCAGAACTTGGGGGCGTCGCTGCAAGTTGGGCTACAGGGGAAGGTCGAGTGGCGCGTCTTTCGGCTTAGGAATCCAGCCCGGGTCACCGAAGCTCTCCCGCCGCCTCCCGGCTCCAGGGAGCTGCTCGGCGCGTCCGGGGTCGCCTCCACAGAGCTGCCCGCCGCTTCCCCCCGGGGCCGGTCCAGCCACCCCGGCCTCGGAGGGGGAGGCGGCGAGTGGGTCGGGCCGCGGCCCCAGCCCAGCTCTGGCTCTCATACACTTTCCGAGAGACTGCAGCAGGCGCTGCTAGGGCCCCAGCCAGGCAGAGGCTGCGCGGAAGCGGAGCCGGGCGGCCAGGCTCAGCGCCGCTCCCGCCCCACTCCCAGGCATGTGGGTGACTGAGTCTCCGCGTGCGGTCTGGTCGCCCCGCCGGCCTGAGGCGGGAACGGGAGAGCCGCTTCTCTTCCCCAAGAGGACAAGGAGCGGAGCCACGACACGGTCCGGCTGCTAAACGCTCTCGGAGAGCCGCTTGTTTTCTGTCCCTCGCGCACACTCAGCGCTGGGAGGGTGGGGGAAAAGAAGGGACGGCCTGTCGGCGGTGGCGCAGGACGATGACATCAGCGTAGCCTGGCAACAGCACCCCTTCCACCCGCCTCCCCGCGCCTCTCGCGGCGCGCCGCGATGACGCACAGAGGATGCTACGCAGGTTGGATGACACGGGGTGTGGCTGCTGAGAAACGTAATGCAGGAGGCGGGAATGAAGCGGGTGAGTGAGACGCAGGAGACCCGCCCCGTCACCCAACTCTGCGCAGTCGCAGTTAGACTAGACGTAGGATGGGTGTTTGGCCGTAGATTGCCGGACCTTTTCGGAGTATTTTGACCAAAACAGGAGATACTGATTTCCCGTGCGGGCTCGCGAGGGATGTGGCACGAGGTCAGGGCCAGCTAAACTAGGCCCATAATGTTTTCGTTGAGTGTCGGGGTGGGAAAGAGACGGTAGAACCATAGGGAAGTATAAGTTTCCATAGGCTACAGCCCACTTCAAAGGTATGAAGTGACTACTCAGCCTGCAGATACATGCATGACCGGGGGAGGGGGGGGGGCACTGTGATTAAAAGGCCGTGAAATGCAAGAGGCATACTTCGTGACACATCTGTAGGGAAGTACTGTACGCTTGAATTGTGGACACCATGAGCTCCTTCATGCCTTTGCTGAGACCACATTTTGGAATACTGCCTTCTGGGTTTCACCAACTTGTTGAAATGTTGGATTCTACCGTTGTTCCCTGGGATACAAAGACACATGATGCAGCATCTTTAATAAAGCTAAGCAGGTTTTAGGTTTGCCCTGCCTAGATGGAAGAGCTCTGGAATGCTGTCTTGAGTTCCATAATTAAAGAAATGCAGGATATAAGTATAATGAATAGACAGTTATTGAGATAAAGTACCTGGTGTTGCATTGCACTCCTTTCTATTGAAAGTTATTCCTATTATGAATTTTTCAAAGGTGTGGCCTATGAATAAGTGTGTGCGTGTAAGGGTTGTAAACAATGTATTTGTCCTGTGGACTGTCAACACAAACGTCTGTGACATTATGGGGAAAAGAAATTAAGTTCACAGCCAGCCAAGCATTAAGAGAAAATTGGTATAAAATATCCAAAGGATATTGAGAAAGTAGACAAAAATTACAAAGGAAAATGTTGGAAATGGCAAGGTATAGATGGAACCTTTTTCCATATATGGTGGACTTGTAAAAAAGCAGAAACATATTGGAAGGAAATACATGGGGAAATGAAGAATATATTAAAATTTAAATCCCCTATGGAAACTAAGAATATGCTATTAGGAATATTGCCTAATAAATTATCAAAAGTTTTGGAAGATATATTTGAATATATAGTGACAGTGGCTAGAATCATTTAGGCAACAAAATGGAAATCAGACCCCTGTCCAAGCTTAGAAGAATGGAAAAATAAACTTGTTGATTATGCAGTAATGGTGAAATTAGCAATTTATTTGAGAAACAGGTCAATTTCAAAATTTGAGAGAGATGGAGTGTCTATTATGTAAACAGGAGGCAAACTTAGAATAAGAAACAGTTTAAAAAGTGGATTTTGGAAAAAAATAATCTTACATTTTTAATTGTGAGATACAGAAGAAGAAGAGATAGGATTTATACCCCGCCTTTCACTCGGAGTTTCAGAGCGGCTTACAAACTCCTTTCCCTCCCCACAACAGACACCCTGTGAAGTAGGTGGGGCTGAGAGAGCTCTTTCGAGAACTGCCCTTTCAAGGACAGCTCTTGTCAGAACTATGGCTTGTCCAAGGTCATCCAGCAGGTGCAAGTGGAGGAGTGGGGAATCAAACCTGGTTCTCCCAGATTAAAGTCCATGCACTTAACCACTACACCAAACTGGCTATAGAACAGACTTTAAAAAAAAGTTTGGTATATTAAATGCTACAGCTAGCATGTAGAAATGATGAAATATGTAATAGAATATGGTAATGAAATTAATACTATAGTTCCAAAATAGATCAGCTACAAAATTTGAAATTTAAGATGTTTGAAGTAGGGGATATTGTATTTTATAGAAAATATCATAAAGTTTATGGTGAAGGGGATATTGAGAAGAAATATTTTCTGTTCTGTATACCCTGCAATGTATGACAATTGTGATTAAAAGGCCGTGAAATGATATATATAATTTGTTATATATATAATTTGATATATATAATTTGTTATGGTCACACTGTCCTGCCTGGGATAGTTTGGCTTCTGTGAAAGAAGAATGCTATGGCTTGTAAACCAAAAGTATATGGATACACCAGTATCACAATAATTCATTATTTGTTTAATCTACTGCAGTTAGCACTGCTACATATAAAACTAACCCTAACAGCTGGCTAAAGATAAGCTTTGATGAGATATAGTCTTCCCTTATCACATGCATGAAGTGAAACTGCAGTCTGCATGTCGTCAGCAATGCCCTTCTGCTGACTAAATCAAATGGTCCCTAAGGAAATGTACAAGTGGACACAAATTTGGCTTAAAAATGGCAATATTCAGAACCTTGTAGATGGAGCTATTCATTGGGTATGACAAGTTGTGGCAACTGCTACAGGCCTTATGATCGGGGGAGCCCACACATCACCATCAAGTGTGTGCTACTGTCCCCATCCAGCACCCATACCACCGGTGGCTTTAGGTCTGAAAGTACACCTTTTCATACTCTTTAAACCTGAACACACACACATAATCAGTTGGGTGGTAGTGCCATCTCCCAGGCAGCCAGAGAGTACTGCATAGCCCCAAGTGTTGAGCTGATTACTGTCAACAGATGTTTCACAAGACCCAGATTCTTTTCACAGGGTATAGAGGGCTTCACTCAGGCCCCATACTGCCCTAGGGTTTGTCCTGCCAGTAGCACAATATTTCAGTCTACTAGTAGTACAGTCCTAAACAGATTTCAGCCAAAATTGTTGGTAAATTCCACATCAGCAATTCCTGATTGGAGACTCCCTTTGAATTTCCCTGGTTGAAGGATGATGACTTCAAGGTAATTGTGTCTTGTAGTACAATCCTACATAGAGTTATACTCTTTTAAGCCCACTGATTTAGAAGAGTATAACTCTACTTGAGATCACATTGCAAGACTGTTTCCTAAAAGTTAGCTCCAAGAAACTTCAAAGGGAATCTCCAGTCAGTCATTGATAATATAGAATTTACCAATATATTTGGTTGTGTTAAATAGAGCTGATACTTTTCTTAGCTGCTGCTTAACATAGTTGAGCATTACAGCTGAAGTGAATGTTCCTTATGTTTATTCTTTATACTTTTCTGGTTTGGACAGAAATGTCTAATTTCATGGCTTAATCCTCTGTTCACAGTTTCTTTATCTCTCTTTCCCCTGTATGTGTATTTGTAGAATGAAGATTTACTTCATGCATTTGATGAAGTGGGCTCTAGTTCAAAAACCTTGTGCTTCAATAAATCTCTGCAGTGCAACTCTATGCCAAGTGAATCCATATTAAACCTAGGATTGCACTGTTAGCCTTGAATTTGAGAAAAGATTTGCTTTTGCTGAAACAGACTAGCATGGCTGTCCCACTGAAATTTTAACCACCTACAACATCAGTGAAACCAGTGCAAAACATGCTAATATTTTGAGAGAGTATGCTGGTGCCCTGCCTACCTATCAGCTTCCAGCAGTTCCATCCCTCTTCCCCGCCCCATCCCACCACATAGTAGCTTAAGAACTATCCTCCTCTGAGGTGATGATAGAGGGAACTTGATTGAACAGAATAGCATGAATTCAGCCATCAATTAGTCTGTTGCGCTTGAAAACAAAGTTTTTGAGCCCTAAATGATATTCGTATTCAAAATGTTTTTGTTGTATGTTGCCCTTTTTTTTTTTTTTAACTGAAGAGATAATTCAGCGTGTTGCCTTTTCCATAGGTTGGTTCATGGCAGAGTGGGGATTTGAAATGGTCTCCTTCAGGCAAGTCTCCTGCATCCTGTAACCATGGTACCATGTTGGCTTTTCATTTTCTATCTTGCAGACTCCAGACTACTCCAAACAAGAATGAAAGTCTCATACAACTTTATAATAATGTACATGTTTATAACATTAAATAATGTTTTGTACAACAGTCCCGGACATGTGGTCTTATTCTGTTATCCCATCATAGTTAAATTACTGTGCCCTAATGTAATTACACTGTCAGTCTGAATGCACCTGTGTTCCCCACCCCTATTCAGCTTGTGTGTACAGAGAAATAGATATTCTAAAAACACCATCATTCTTAAATTTCTCTTCACTGAACTCAGTATTCCTACTAAACATCAAATTGTTTAGAAATCTTGCATGCAACATAAGCCTGCAAAACCTGTGACTCACCAAGCAGAATGTGGCCCACCAGCCATGTACGGTGATCCATTGGGGGGCTCATTATATCTGGGTTTTCTGCCTACCTTGGACTGTAGAAACAGGACTGATAGTCAAGTATATGTCAGACTCTACAAGAGATGGCTGGGAGGAAACATTTTGCTTCAGCAGTGGTATTCATTCCATAGCTCATAGAGAGCCACTTTCACACAATTACACAAGTAACATCAAGGAAAAGAGACACATTTTCCTACATCCCTGGCATGAAGCCTGTACCTGAGGGATACTCTCAAGACTTTTCTGCATTCCCCCTTCTCATCAGATATGGCTCCATACTGCTTTGTTTTATCTCCTGTTTTCTGCTT